GAGCATTGTAATAGAACTGCATAATCCACTCAAACATAGTCATTAGAAATTAGAACTATAATTTACTTGTTCTTTTTACCTTGCTGACTCTCTCTTCCTTAAAGGCACTTATTTAATCATAATGCTAACAATACTTGCTTACCTTGTCACTCTTTTTGTAATGGCCCATGTGATGGAGAGGTATAGATTATTTATTCATTCAGTATTAATTTTATAAATTTATAGGGTCCTGCCAACTGTAGTATCTGTAATACCAATTTCTTTGTCAATGTAAGTATTGGGGCTGGTAAATTGTGTCTGGAGTCATGTGTGGGTGACACTTATTTACCTGATAATCGCACTAGTGGTGAGTATAAATATGAAGTGCATATTGCTATTAATATTCTTCAGGTGAATGCCTGCCTTGTTTTAATGGTTGTGCTCTTGGCTATGGCTGTGCTGGCCCTGGAAAGACATTCAATGACAGTAATGGCTGTATGGCATGTGATACCATTTTGCTTGATAGAAATGGAGATCAAGTTTGTCATTATAAGCTTTATCATAACTTTATATACTAAATTGGATGTAGATTGAGTGTCAGAGGGATGTAACCTGTCCTTCTGGCTATTATCGTGAACAGTTGTCAGAGGACCGTGGTATTTTTCTTACTGGTACTGTTTTGTGTCATTCCTGTCATGAGCTTTGTGCAACATGCAGTGGGCCTTCAGTTAGTGATTGTGTTCTATGCTCATATATCAGAGGCACTAATGGCTCGTGTGTTTATCAATGTGACCCAATGAGAGGTAAAATAATAAATAGGCAATGATTTTGCTGACATTACATATTATGCTTATTACAGAAACTGTTCCACAGAATGGTAGTTCACAGTGTATTCCAGTTATTGGAACAATAGGTACCCTTGATCCTACAGGTGCTATTGTATCTATTGGAGCTGTGATTGGGTCAATATTTGGAGGGCTTGCATTAATCTGTCTAACAGTTTTGGTCATTCTAATTTTAGTCCTTCTTTTACTCAAAAAAAAATAGAAAATCTATTTATATTGCTGAGCTAAAATTCATATGTGGCCAGTTATAGGGGGGATCATTTAGGAGATGTACTGTTAGGTAACCGGTTATCATGGTTATCATGGTTATCTGTGTTCTATCCTTTCAAATAATTTACATTAGAGCAGCTGATCATTGCAAAGAGCTTTTTCCACTTGGTAAAGGTTCTCTGCAGTATTAATAGAAGATGCGTGCTAAGTATATTCATAACTTTTAAGTACCGTATAGTCAAACCACAATAAATTGACCACCATGTTGGACGTCAAGTTTATTAAGAGTTCAATGGGGGAAAACACATTTTCTTGCCTTGCTACCTTCTTGAGGCCTTTTTTGGAAGCTTAGAAAGCATCCTGGGATCTAATGGGGTTTAGTAGTCACCTGAAAGATTGCTATTAAGAAATACAGAGCGGTTTCCTGGTACCAAGCGTTTTTCTATTGTGTCTCCATTGCTGCAGCATGCCAATGGAAAACTGACGTCCAAAGAATTAACTTTTTTTGTGAAAGTTATTACGGTATGCAATGAAACACTAATTTGCAATACTTAGCACTCATAGTATCCTTGCCCAACTAATTTTTACATTCATATGACCCAGATTGCATTACAGGTACTTATGTTGAAGATGGTTCTAAAGAATTTTTCATTACACTTTCTGATGCACATTGATGTCATGAAAGTTTGAACTGATTCCGACATCAATAATGAGTCTTATAGTGTATAAGCCAATTAAAAAAAATATTCATATAGTTTCTTGGATAATGGCTCAAAAATC